TCGTTGTACTACATGTGAGTGGCTTGTATCCTTACCCGAGCTGTTGTACTACATGTGAGCGGCTTGTATCCTTACCCGAGCTGCGACCCTTCTGGACGATGGGTTGAGGCTGCGCGTTTTGGCTTTCCACTGCCAGCCCATACGGTTGCCGTGAGAGTTAATTTGCCGGAAAGTTTTGCGTCCAGCTTTGCGCGGCCTGGGACTTGGGATTGGCTTCTCGGTTGACGGATTGATCATTGGGCTGTCTACTTCCATTTTTCTGAAGGCTCGTGCAAGCCTCGGCCGGCTTGTAAGCCGGCCGCAAAGCCGTGCTGGCAAGGCCGGTCGAATCTCACCCCGACTTCGGATAGACTTCACTGCGAGTCGCACTGCTTGCACCGTGCACTCGTGTCACAGCATGTGTGAGCTATGACTACGCCTATTAAAAACAGTACTGTAGTACCATAGTCAAGGACTGGGACTGGTACCTGCGAGGCACAGGGACACTTCGACGTGGTTTAGCTCTTTCCTTGCAGATCATTTGCTCGCCATGGGCTTCGTTGGTGATGGACTTAATGTCATAATAGCAGCGATGCTGACGACGACGATGATCATACCGTAATACACATCATTGTGACGATGGTGCTGGTGAATTTCTAAACGGCGTTTCCGCTTGCAGCATCCTCCAGTCTCGGCCACAGGATCGGCTTGAACCTCTCATGAGTGGTAGCACGCGATATGCTCCAGAGCTGCCAAATAATACTTACGATCACAAAAATCATCATAATCGTAAATATAGCTATAACAATAAAACTAATGCAGCTACCAATAAAATTAACAAGAATAAGACTAAAAACACTACTAATAGCAATAATAATGATAATAGTAATACTCCTAACAACACCAAAACTAATAGTAATAATAAAATAACGAATCAGCTCCGCCACCCCTGCGGATTTGGAACCAAACATGTCGGCAAACTCAGACTCCCACTTGTGATGTCTCCGCACGTGTGGAAGCCTGGCAGGTTTGGGCGCCAAGCTGTTGCTGATTTTCTTGGCCTAAAAGGCTGCAGCTACCTGGTCACCGAATTAAAACCCAAGGAACATCGAAAACAATACCATCAGCAAGCCTTTTCTCTATGTGAATACATGCGCCGACAAGCCTCGGAACCCCAAACGGGCTTGAGGCTTGAGGTTTACGTTTCTTCCGTATTCTGTGGCGCTAAACCTTTCACGTGCACAAGTGTTCCCGGATTTCAGGTTGCTGATGGCAACCTGAAAACCTCTGAACCCTAAACCCCAACCCGAAACCAGAAACCCCACACCCTCAACCCTTGATCACCCCGCACCCCAACAAGAGGGCTATCCAAACTCACAGCAGGGATCCTGGCCTGGCTTTGTCCCCTCTTCTCGGGCTCGACGATGTCTGTAAGGCAGGGTTTGGCGGCAGTGTTTAGGGGCAGCCAGTTTGCTTGGCTAGGCCGTGGGTAATGTATGTATGTGTGCGTGCATGTACATGCATGTATGCGTACATATATGTATATAGATGTATGTGTCCTGCATGTGTATGCATCTGTGCATGTACATATGTATGTATGCATGAATGTATGTTA